GGGGGGCAGGGAGAAGTAACAGTGAATGAATGGAAACCCCAAGTCTCTGTAAACTTTCATAAAAATTAATAAAAAAGAAAGATCTAAAAAAAATAAAAGAGACTAATTTATTAATAGCAAAGATTACTGCCTTCACTGACACCCCCAGGGCAGAGCAGAACTGCCTTGTACGGCTTCCAAGACTGTGAACTTGATCAGAGTCCCATCTCTCGCCTAAGGAGTGACTGATAGGTTCAGACTGCCAACTCCTGGCCAGCATATTAACCATAGCACCTCTGTGGCTCCCAGTTTACTCTGAAACCAAAACTCACTGCTGTCATACTGATTTGACCCACGGTGACTTTTCATTTGGTTTCTGAGGCTGTAAATTTTCTCACGGGGAGGCTGTCCAGCTCTGTGGAGGGGCAGGTAGATTCAAACTGTGGACTTGTTGGTTAGCCTGTCCAAAACAAAACACAAGCCACTGAGCCATGGGGCCTTCTTGAAAAAGGTGCTACGTAAGAGAGTTTCCACCTTGCTTGAAACCCTGTGCTTCCCAGGAATCTCCATTACTGCTCTGCATGTTTTATAAGCAAACCTATTTGTCTGAAACCTTCTTCAAACTATATACATTTGTCATTGTTGTTGACAGTGGTGATTCAATTGGCTCCAATTTACGGTGACTTTAAGTACAGTGATATCATCTTGCTTCAATCCAAAATCAGCACACCCTTGGTCCCAGCACTCAGGAGTTGCTTTGGGCAACTCCACTGTCTGGGACTTCTCCAAAATACTGAAGTGCAGTGATACCAATTTGAAGACTAAGGTGTGCCTGATTCAGGCCACAGCCTTTTTCATTACTTGCTATGCCTCTGTGAGCTGGACAGTGAATAAGGATGACAAAAGAAGAATTGAAGCCTTTTAGCCGTGGTGTTAGGGAGGAGTAGTGAATGACCCAGGGTCTGTCAAAGGAGTGAACAGGCTGGTCTTGGAAGAGGTGGAGCCGCAGTGCTCTTGGGAGGTAAAGGTGGCAAAGCTCCGTCTCTCATCCTTTGCACATGTTATTAGGAGATTTAGAGTCTTATAAGGAACTCATTCAATATTATTCAAAATGGGTGAGCCTGGAGGACATTATGCTGAGTGAAATATCTCAGTCGCAAAAGGACAAACATTGCATGGTGCCACTGCTGTAAAATGGGACTGATATCAGGGTGGGGGTAAGCCTGAGAAAAACTGGATAAATTGTGTATACTGCACTGAAACAGATGAGGGA